CATACCACTTTAAGCCATGATTTAGAGTGTTGAGGCCCTGGCAGAGGCTGCCCACAGAAGCTGTGGATGCCTCATCCCTGCAGGTGCTCAAGGCCAGGTTGGATGGGGCCCTGGGCAGCCTGAGCTGGTGGGTGGCAGCCCTGCATATGGCGGAGGGTTAAGTGATCTTTAAGGTTCCTTTCAACACAAGATATTCTATGACGCTATGATATGGTAACACAAAGAGTTGGCCTGATACAAAGGAAGGAGACACACAGCTGGGGAGATCATGGATGTGTAATACTGAACTTGCTACAAAAGGAAAAAATATGTCCATTACGTGAAATGGCAACAGCCACCATAGAGTTCCAATGCAAAGTAAGAAGTGGTAGGACTTGCATTTTAAGATGTATTGTTTGTCATTTAAATGCAATGTTGGTGGAGATAAGACAGAAACAGTGAGAAGCTGATAGGGAAGGAAAAAGGAAATAAATCAGGTTAAAAAAAACCTGCAGGTATCATAGGCCTAAGAAAAAGCAAAGGGGTAGAAAGTGTGGACAATGTATTAATCTGGGAAGGAAAAAAAAAAAAAAAACCACAAAATTCTGAATAGAGAAATTGCCTCAGTAAATAAACAGGACTGCAACAAAGAAACACTGTCTCTAGTAGGTATTTCCTATTAGAGGAAAAAATGCTAAACATTGGCTAATCTTCTAGATCCAAGCCTGGATGAGTGTATTGGAATAGAATCCCCACGTGTTTCCATCATCACCCCAAAAATGCAGTGAGCTGATGTTGCACAAACTGCCCAGCAGATGGCAGTCTTGCATATATATCACAGCAAGTTAAGTGCCAACAGTTAAATAAGGGATTTTGTAGCATAACAAAAACGATAGTTTGGATACGAAGCAAAAACAGATGCAATTTTTTCTTCCTTAAAGACATCCTGTGAATTTCCTGACACAAAGTTGATTAGGACCCTACTGAATAGTTTGTAATAGAGTGTAATAGAAATCAACTTGAGTATAGTAACTAACAAAGAATATTCAGTAAAAACAGTTGAATATAGAGACTATAGATATGTTAAAAATCTCACTCCTGGGACAGGAAGATTTTCTTGTGAATTTATAAAAATGATGTGCACACTAAATTAGAAATTCTATTATCATTATTTTCCAGTTTGATTTAATCACAGCCCATCCTGCTCATCTCCACAAGGAACAAACACCATCAGCAAAATAACAACAAAGTTGTTATAGAATCACCCAGGTTGGAAAAGATCCTAAAGATCATTGTGTCCAACCACAACCTAACCATACTACCCTAACTCTAACAACCCTCTGCTAAATCATGTCCCTGAGCACCACATCCAAACAGTTTTTAAACACATCCAGGGATGGTCACTCAACCACCTCCCTGGGGATCCTATTCCAGTGCTTAACAACCCTTTCTGTAAAGAAGTTTTTTCCTGATATCCAACCAAGACTTACCCTGGTACAACTCAAGGCCATTTCCCCTCATCCTGTCACCTGTCACCAGTGAGAAGAGACCAGCCCCACTCTCGCTGCACTCACCTTTTAGATACTGGAAGAGAGCAATAAGGTCTCCCTTCAGCCTCCTTTTCCCCAGACTGAACAGCCCCAGTTCCTTCAGTCTCTCCTCATAGGGCACATTCTCCAAGTCCTTCACAAGCCTTGTTGCCCTTCTTTGGACCTGCTCCAGCACCTCAATGTCCTTTCTGTCCTGAGGTGCCCAAAACTCAACACAGTACTCGAGGTGAGGCCTCACCAGTGCTGAGTACAGGGGCAGGATGACTTCCCTAGTCCTGCTCACCACACCATTCCTGATACAAGTCAGGATGCCATTGGCCTTCTTGGCCACCTGGGCACACTGCTGGCTCATATTCAGCCATCTGTCCATCAGTACACCGGTCCCTTTCCATCAGGCAGCTTTCCAGCCACTCTTCCCCAGACCCATAGGGTTGCTTGGAGTTGTTGTGACCAAATGCAGGACCTGACACTTGGCCCTATAGAAACTCATGCAGTTTGCCTTGGCCCATTGATCCAGTATATCCAGGTACCTCAGTAGTGACTTTCTCCCCTCTCTCAGATCAACACTCCCTCCCAGCTTGGTGTTGTCTGCAAATTTTCAGAGGGTGCACTGAATCCCCTTATCAAGATCATTAATAAAGATGTTAGATAGAAGCTCCCCTGGGGCTCAGTATTGAGCCCCGGGGTACACCACTCGTGACCAGTCACCAACTGGATTTAACTCCACTGACCACAACTCTTTGGGCCTGGCCATCCAGCCAGTGTTTCACACAGCATAGTGCATGCCCATGCAAACTGTGGGCAGCCAGCTTCTCTACGAGAATGTAGTGGGGGACAGTGTCAAAGACCTTACTGAAGTCCACGTAGACCACATCAACTGTCTTACCTTCATCCACTAAGCGGGTCCCCTTGTCACAGAATAAAATCAGATTTGTCAGACAGGACCTACCATTCGTAAACCCATGATGACTGGGCCTGATCCCCTGGTTGACCTTTAATTGGTCCATGATGGCTCCCGAGATTATCCTTTCCATAACCTTCCCAGGCACTGAGGTGAGACTGATAGGTCTGTAGCTACCAGGATCATCTTTCCATCCCTTTTTGAAGATAGGCGTCACATTTGCCAGTCTCCAATCCACTAGGACATCCCTGGTTATTCAGGACTGCTGAAGAATGATGGAGAGTGACTTGGCAACCACATCCACCAACTCCCTCAGCACTCTAGGGTGCAATCCATCCAGCCCCATGGACTTGTGAGCATCTAGCTTTTGAAGCAGCTCCAAAAGTATCTCATCATAGATCATGCAGGGCTTATTCTGTTCCCCATCCCTTTCTACAGTGCAGGGAGGTGTGTTCCCAGGGAGTAACAAGTCTTACTATTAAAGACTGAGACAAAGAAGGCATTAAGTACTGCAGCATTATCCCGATCCTTTGTCACCAAGTTGCCCTCAGCATCTCCAACAAGGGATGGAGATTCTCCCTAGCCCTCCTCTTGCTGTTGATATATTTATAAACATATTTATTGTTTTCCTTTACCTTAGTGGCCAAGTTCAATTCTAGCTGGGCTTTGGCTTTTCTAATTTTCTCCTTGCAGAGCTTCACTACATACTTGTAATCATCATAAGTAGTTCAAGAAGAATTAAAAAGAAGCCTGACAAAAACATCTAGAACAATACTACCTCCTCAGCTTTTGATAAAATGAATTTTCCCATTGAAATCATGAGGAAACAGGTTTACTGTTGTGCTACAATAGATTGTGAAAAAATACCAATTTAAGCTTTTCAGAATTTTTCATGTTACTTATTACAAATAAAATGAATGGTCTCTACATATCTGAAGATGATGCATACACTAGGCTTTGTAAACACAATGAAATATCAAGATTTTATTGGGAATTTGCATCTCTTTATATTTAACCATTATATAACCATAGATTTTTGAATGTGCTCTTATGGAAAATAAAATAATTTTGATTGTATTACCTTCACTGGCATTTGGTTCTTCATTCACTCTAATGTGCTTATAAGCTGTTAATATTTCCATGACTACAATTCACTTATACTGAAGTGAGCTATTTTAGCTATTTGTTGTGCAGTAAGAAGCTCTATCCAATAATCAGCTTTGTTTTAATCTACACAGAAATAAGCACTTTCTGCTATTGGGGGTGCACAGTTAAGGGTGCACAGTTACAATTCCCACCAGAAATTTCCTGCAGATCAAGATGTCAAACAAGAATCTGTTAATCTGTTACTTATGGCCTTCTTTTTTTTTCACAGAGGAAAAAAAAAGTTTATTTGGCAATAGGAACAGCTGATAGCCATGATAAAAGAATATTTTTCTTGTATTCAGTCTTAGTCCTGAAGTCTACACCATGCCAAATGGACATCAAAGCCAGAGACAGGAAATTGTAACTAAAAATGGGATTCACCATCCTAAGCTGCCAAAAAGAAGAGTAAATACTCTCACATGGCGCTTCATGCTACACTGTTTAGACTGCTTCCAATATCTGAGTTAATTCAGGTACCTCTGCAGTGTCAACATGCAGTCACAACTGCCCTCTTCTCTAAGTCAATAAATAAACATTGATTATTTCCTTCTTCACATTTGTTCGACCAAACTCATGAATGTTTTCAGGGTGACATCCTGCATCTGTGACAGAGGTTCTCTTTACACCTTCTTATCTACAGTATGAGTAACCAGGCAGAAAAGTGTGCAGAACAGTAAAAACCTAAGTGTTTCCTGCATACTAGTGCCTTTGCATATTCTTCATGGGCATCTTGTCAAGCAACAGCTTCCCCGGCTTATGGCAGCTTTCTTCCCATACTCAAAAAAAAAAAAAAAATAAAGCAAGCAAGCAACCAAACCACCAGAAACAGATGTATGGATTGGAAATGGAAAGACAAACTAGAAAAAACAATAATGTTTCACTTGTATTCTTCTCCAATTCAGCTAGTGTTCTTCTCACGATTGGAAAAACATTGACAGCTAAGTAAAACATTATCTTAATGCACCAGATTTCCTTTGCACATTATTTTCTCTAACCAGGGATACACAACCTAATGGAGATAGCTGTAGCTTTGCTAGATGTAGGGACTCAATTGACATCTCTGGGAGCACCTTGCTTTCCAGTGGATAAGTTCCATAACTGGGCAGGAATAACTCTGGAATTTGTATTTTGTGATACAGCAGACACTGATGTTAGACTGGGACAAGAAGGGATGCTTTATTATTCCTGAATTAAAGCAATTTTTCTTTAACACATATGGACAAGTATTTTCTTGGATTCATTCCTCTTACTGCTAGTACACTTGTCTCATGTAGGTAAAAAGCATAATTTTATGTTTAACCTGAATACTGTACACTCAGCTCATTTTCTAATACCTGTTTTATTTTACAGATAATGACATTTTTTCTTTTCAAATATTGGAAACTTTGCATATAGTGGAACATTTGGAAAGTAATAGGACATACCTTGTTTAGCTTTACAAAATATTCTAGTCCAGCTTCCAAGGGATTAGTGTCACAGTTCATCTGTTAAAAAGAAAAAAATAAAAGCCATCTCTATATAGTGGTCTGTAGCAGGTTTTGCCTTTAATAAATAAATAGATAGATAGATAGATAGATAGATAGATAGATAGATAGATAAATATTATATGCATCTTTCTATTTATTCCTGGTTCAACGTCATCCACACTGCTTATGTGAAACATCCATCTGAATATACTGTAAGCTTCCTAATACATGACTTCAAGCAGAATATCATATTATTCTTAACATAAAGTGTGGATACCTAAATCATATATTTACATTTCAATGTGCAAAGTAAATACACATTTCAATCAGAAATGAGACTTTTTTTCAAAGCAGAATGGAAACTGTAGAAGCTTGAATAACTGGGTTATAAAAATAAACTGTAACACACCAGAATGCCTCAGCTAGAGGCAAAAATAAAATACAATGCCAGGTTTTCTTACTGCCTTCCTACTGAGTGAAGAGGTAGGATAATGGTTTGTTGGGCAGCATTACAAGCAAGAATGAAACTAATTATCAGTGAACAAAGCAAAAGTATTCCCAAATGCCCAGGATTTTATCTTCCTTGTTTCTTTCCTTTCCAAACGAATTAGGAAACAAAATCAGGTAAGCAGAATTTTACTGTTTTTTCCCCAATTCCCTAGCTCTCCTCTCCTGAGTATTTCTTTACTGTGGGTAAGTAAATTCACTAGAAAGAAACTAATGGGAAATGAGTAAGTTCCAAATACATGATAAAGAATAACTGGCCTCTCATGACATAATTACTACAGAAATAAAATATTTTCAGAACCCATCTGCCAAATCTTTGATTTGAAAAGACTAAACTCAGCAAAACCATTATAATTTTGTTATACACAAGAGGCAAAAGTATCAGTGAATCAACACAAGTGTCTTTTTGCCAGCAGCGCAATGGAGTACAGTAGTTATTTTTTCATTTAGAAAAGACGCTGTTCAGAATTACAGAACTTTCAGCTCAAAATAGATTTATTTTCACGCTAAACTTAGAAAATGGAACAAAAACCAATTATTATCTTTGTTAATTCAGACTAAAAACTGTGTAGTCAAAGTGAAATAAAGAAACAGAAAGAATAATAAAAAAGTTTTACTTCCTGACCTCTGCCCCCCAGGCTCGGAAACCCTTTTCTAGCCTTAAAGCATTCAGAGCATATGTTCCAAAGTTGTCAATTCCCTCTTTTTGGCCAGCATCCATGATTGCATTGTAAAGAGCTACAGAGTCTTCTTTTCTATGATACAGTTCCCATCCCAATTCACCTGTTTGACAAACAAGATTAGCATTTCCATCAACTCAACACTGAAACAATCCTGGTAAATGCACTCTGTTCATTGGTAAAAAGTGAGGAGCAACACTGTGTTAATTCATGTTATAGGGTCAATTCTGCTATCATACAGAAAGTCAAATTTCCTGCAAGAACCACAAGAGGATTCATGCCCTAGATCTTAAGCAGCAGTAATATTATTCTAATTTAAACTGTTAAATGATATCTAAGTGGGGGAAAAAAGGACCAAAAACTTGGCAAGGAAAGATCAGGTAACGAAGTCACACTTAGGGATGAAGCTTAAGACATTATAAGCAGATGATGAAAAGGCAAGTGAACAGCACGTGTAACAGTGTAAATAAGCAAAAAGTGAACGTTATTTCATACTTTGTACACTAGAAAGAGAAAATTAATTTCAGTGACTTCAGCTGCTTCAGAACGCTCTGAATTCATTCTATTGTAATAGAAATTAACATAAAAAAGAAATTAAAATAACTCAGAAAAGCAAATATTCCAAATTTCAGTGTTATACTTTAAAAGCACTTGGCAAAAAAATATACGGTAATCCAAAACCAATTCCTGACGTTGGCTTTGCAGCAAATACCACAGAGGTTATCAGAACTGCCCTTTTGTTCTGTAAAATAAATATTTACACCACAGGGTATTCTAGAGAAGAGGATCTTGGAAAATTTGGAACCGCCCGTGACCAGATCATCTGAAAAATCAATGCACTGGGTTTCCTCACACATAAAAAAAAGGGTGGTGAACCTACTTAAGAACACATAGTGAGATTTATTATTCAATATACTTTTGATTATACTAATTTTATTATTTTTTGCCTCTTAAAGAGTCTTTCTTCTGTATCACTCACCTGTGTATGATATTCTTATGGCAGTAACAGCAATATCGGAGAGTTTCAAATGTCTAGACTGGAGAAATTTAAATGATTCATCACTCAGATCCTCAGATGTCAATTTCTGGAGGACCTGTCGTGCATATGGACCTGCTACACCAAGTACTCCCATCTCATCTGTCATGTTTTCTATTTCAACTTTGTATCCACCTCTCACTACCTCCTCTTCTATCCATCTGCATGAAAAGCACAACAATGATATTTACTTCATGTATCAAAATATAATTGTTCCATATCAAGATTAAAAATGAACAGTTTTCTTCTTACTGCTCAATTTCTGGTGAGAAAACTGATAAAAGAACACAAGTGTCTGAGGTACAGTGCAGAAAGTGAGAGAATGTAGATAGATTGAATGCTGTCCCACAGAATATTTCACAGAATCCCAAAATGGCTGAGGTTGATAAAGAACTCTGGGTCTATCTGCTGCAACCCCTACCCAAGCAGAGTCACCCAGAGCAGGGTGCCCAGAACCATAATGAGGTGGCTCCTGAAGATCTCCAAGGAGAAAATTCTACGGGCAACCTGTCCTACTGTTCTGTCACCAACATAGTAAAGTAACTGTTGTTCCCTGATGTTCAAACAGAATCTCCCATGTTCCAGTATGCATCCACTGTCCCTTGTCCTGACACAGCACCGCTAAAAATATTCTGGCTCTGTCCCCTTTGCATCTTCTCTTAAGGTATTTATACACACAGTGCTAAGTTTCCCTTTAAGCCTTCTCATACCCAGGCCGAACAGTCCCATCTCACTCAGCATTCCCACCTAGGAGAGAAACTTCAAGTTCCTCCATCAACTTAATGGCCCGTTATTGGATTCTGTCCAATATAACTATATCTCTCTTCTACTGGAGAGCCCAGAACTAGTCATGCTATTCCATATGGCCCTACTAGTGCTGAAGGGAAGGACTACTTCCTTCAACCAGCCAGTGATACTACTGCCCAGGCTATGCTAGCTTTCTTAGCTACAAGGCTCATGTTCAACCTGGTGCCCACCTGGATCCTGAGATCCTTTTCTGCCAAGCTGCTTTCTTCCTAGGTGGCCTCCAGCATCTTGTTGAAATTCATGAGATTCCTCTCAGCCCATTTGCTTGAGAGACTGTTGAGATCTCTCTAGTTGACACCACAGTATTCCGGCAAATCACTTACTCCTACCAGTTTTGCATCGTCTGCAAACCTGCTGAGGGTGCACTCTGGCCTATCATTCAGATCACTAATGAAGAAGATGTTTTATATGGGACTAGACCCAGCATTAACCCCTGGGACACACTGCTAGTTACGTGCCTCCAGATAGACTGCACCATTGAACAGTGGGCTCTGGTCTCAGCCATTCCGGCTGTTTTCAGTCTACCTCGCTGTCTATCCATGTAGCTCATACATCAACACCTTGTCTACAAGAGGAACAGCTTGTCTACAGCTGTTGTAGGTGACAGTGTCAAAGTCCACACTGAAGATGAGGTGGACAAGACCTACTGCTCTACTCTCACCTGCCAAGCTAATCATTTCATCATAGGAACATATCAGTTTGATCAAGCATGACTTCTTGGCAAATCCATGCTGACTGATAAGAGAAAGAAGTGATATCCTAAGACTGAACACAGACCTGTCTTTGGATTCAGAAGGTGTTAATAAAATGTCAGCATACAAAAGGAATAAGCATCACACGAAATGAATATCAGGAACCTCAACATAAATTTCTGTGCTAACATAAATGTACAAATGTTATTGTTGCTTTCTGAATGCAGTGTCAAGTACTGGCAGCAATTTTAGCTTGCAGTGTTGCTCTATTTAAAAACTAAAGCTGTGTAAATCTTTCAGGAAGTTCACAAAGTAAATGAAAGGGGTATATTTAAAATCTTATAAATTATTGTTTTGTTAAACAGTGTTTAAAGATCTCAGGCCCAAGGGAGTACCAAAAAGCATTGCAGAAATTTTTTAAAAGTAAATACATTAGGCCTGTCCTTTTTTTACAAGCATGGGGCTGTTATGAAAGTGCATGATGCATCATGTGTAAGGGTTGTAAATTTCAGCTTTCATCTCACTGATTCACTTTGAAGAATTGATTTGTCAGAAATTACAGGTAAGAAAAAATCTTTTTCGTATTATGTGTGTACAGCCACTAATAACACTATAAATATGTATCTTATTGAAAAAAAGTCCAATGCATCTTATTGAAAAAAAGTGAAATAGAGTCAACCTACAACTGCTTCTCCTTTCTTTCACTTCACTTTGTGGCCCGAGAGTCCAATGCAGAAGACATTATCACAGTATCAGAAAGAATACTACTCATCTCTACTAGCCAGGTCAGTGCCTCTGGGGTCGTGCATGTTAAAAGTCAGTTCTCTTTTTACGTAAGAGAAAACACTGGAAAGGAACAACCATGCTGTGTTCTATCGTACAGTGCCAAATACAAATATGTTCAATAACAAAACAAGAACTACTTAGATTAAAGTATATTACATAACTGTCAGTAAATTATCCACCTTTTACACCAACATTAAACCCTGCCTGTATTTCAGGATTCAGTTAAACCAAGTTTCTAAGAAACCAAGATCAATGAATAAGTAGAATTATCTTGAAACTAGTGAAATGGTTGTTGAATAATCATTAAGAATTTGGCACTTATTAAAAAGATTTCTACATTAATGTAACTGTATGGCATTATGTACTTACAATATCAAAAATAAGTTTACCTTAGATCATGAAGTTCTGATCCTGAGCCTGTTACAAGCATAAATTCACCTGGATACAGTTGAGACACTGTTAGCTCAGCATAAACTTTTCCTCTGGGTGTCAACATGTGACTTATATTTGTGGAACCAACCTACAGAGTACAATTTCTAGTTAGTAAGGATGCAAAGTAAAACCTCTGAATTCTTAATCTTTATTAAATATGTGGAAATACGTATTTATTTAATAACTTTTTATGCTTGTTCTGCTATGACTTAGCAGGAAAGAATCAGCCAAGCTTAACACTTACAGGCCAAATTCTGCATTTTTTTCATAGAAATCAGATAAATAAAGATCTTTGCAAATATTTTCTGGTTGTGTATTAGATGTTACCAAGAATGTATTTAAATGCAAACAGATCCAATGAATTTCAGTTTCTTTGCTGATCATCAGAATTAAAAAAAACAACAGAATATTGATGTAAATTTTCTTTTTCAATCATATGAAGACATTTGTGAAACCCAAAAGGATGACATATCCTTTGTCTCTTAATTTAAAGAAAAAAAACATTGAGTTTGCTTATGTTTTTGTGCCCTGATGTATTCACCTTTTTCATTATCTATCCGGTTCCCTATTATGAATCTACATCACTGTTCATCTGGATCAGATTCTGTATATAAATGTTTTCCCTAAAGGCAAAATTTCAACAGGTATATAGCTATGACCACGTATGTGTGTTCATACAGATACCATCTATACAAACAAAAATTTAAATGTGCTAGAGCCATTGCTCTTGTCTGATTCCAGGGAAAGAATTTTCACTCTCTTATTTCGTTCTGCTTTCATAAGAACCTTATCAATCACCCAGAAAGTGCCTAGATTCCAGTCTTCTGAACAAAAAAAGTAAAAATATTGCAGATACTGGCATTCTTTTTCAACATCATACTACATAAGTATAGTCACCAGCAGATTACAGGTATGCAGTTGCATTTTCAAAGTCTGATGATGTTAGTCACATTCAATCTAGTTTTGGTACAAGTGGTACAAGTCTCTGGTAACTTCACTGCATTACTTCATGACACAAACAAGCATGAATGATACCAGATAGCTTAAATAATCAACTCTTGTGAAAGCTAGATTTTTAAGTGTACTCATACGCTGTTTGCTTTGTTTTGCTCTTTTTTTTTCCCTTCAGCAACTCCTCTAAACTCTTTAGAAACTATTCACTTTTGTCTTCATAATTTCCCATTTAATGTTGCTTTAACTTCAAAACATAAATACATTCAGCAAGTGTTAGCAACGCCAGCTGATGATAGTCACATCACCTCTACACAAAGCTGGAGAGAAAACATTTAATCTATTTAATACAGTAAAATATATGACTATATGGCAGTTTAGGATCTTTTTCTCTCTCAAATTTATGGGACATCTTTCTTGTGTACAGGCTTCATGTCCAGCTGGCTCTGAGCTCTGAGAAGGCTTCTACCTTCGTGACTATAGTTTCAGTGTACTTAATGCTTTCCCCATGTCTCCTTCCTGCTGTCTACAATAGATAAAATCATAATCTATAGCAACAAAAAAAAAAAAAAAAAAAAAAAGTCAAATTGCATCTTGGAATAACAGCTGTAGCACTTCAGAAAAGAATAGGATGTACCTTTTGACCCAAATCACTGAGTCACAGAGTTGTTGACATAAGAAGGGATCTCATATACCACTGACTGGTGCTGTATCTCTGCAGTTAGACACTAGATGAGAATAGCTAAGAAAGGAGGAAGATAAAAGGGACTGAAGGAGTATTACCATGAACTGAAGACCAGTAATAAGAAACCTGAGTTAGTTTGCCAGTGTGCATTTTTTGTATTCTGAGAATCTGTGAACAGATTCAGAATTGTGGAGGAAGGACAGGTAGGAGTTCAAAAGCTGAGCATCTTGAAAATTTGCAACCCTGCCTGCTCTAGGCAGCCAGATATAAAACACAGTCACTATGAGGTGTGTGGAAAACAAGCATGAGATACATTTGAAAGCAAAACAAAACGTTCACTTGGAGATTGAGAAAAAATACAGAACCCAGCAATGGTCTGGCAAGAACACATCCCATTGCTATCCTCTGCTACCTGAAGCTGCATCTTATGCAAACAGCTTCCAAGTTATTCAACTATTATTGTAAATGAAGTCCAGGTCTTCCTTAGATCAGGATTTGAAACACAGAACTTCCTGTCTGAACTAAGAAAATACTTTTTCTAATGTGAGGGTGACAAAGCACTGGAATGGACTGCCCAGAAAGGTTTTGGAGTCTCCATCCTTAGAGATATTCAAAACCCATCTGGACACAGTCCTGGGCAAGTCAGCTCTAGGCGACCTCCTTTAGTAGATGTTTGGACAAGATGACAAGAATGAGGTCTCATAACATCAACAACTCTGCCACTCAATAACTTGTGTCAAAAGGTACATCTTAAAGCTACTATCGCACAAACTCCACTGTTCCTGCTCCTGACACCGGAATTTCTTCAAAGGATGTGAGTGCTTGGTATCTGAAAGATTATGACAATTTATGCCACATTTTCCATTTCTGAAATGCATCTTGTTTGTCTAAATCTTACATGAAAACGATTACCACCATCCCATTTACCTTTGGAACAACATTTGCAAACAGATGATCCAGCAGCTTAACAGAATCAGTGCCTTTCACTTTAAACTTGCCAAATGGTGACAGGTCAATCACACCAACTTTTTCCATAACCTGTTTATACTCACGGCCCACTGGGTCAAACCAATTTGTGCGCCGAAAACTGGGTCTGAAACAGAGCACTTATACACTTAACACAGAATCTAGCCATTTTGTATTCTTCGCAGCAAAATGTAGTTAGTTTTCAGTTTCTTCAGTTCAATAAGAGATAAACATTCCTAATTGTAGGTAGCTTATCCAATATTCTGCTTGGTCTAACATAGCTTAATTATTAAATCCTTTAACAAAGAGAAAGATATGTGTTCATATTTTATTAACCACTCTGTAGAATAAACTTGGAACTGATCAACCGTTGGAAGAAAGTATTAGTCTGTCATGCGTAAATTTACAGGAAAAAAAAAGAAGATAAACCTAACAGACATCGTTTAGTTGAAACAAGTGATAAATATACACTTGCCTTTTAGACAGTTTATCAGACAAAAACAAAAACAAACAAAATCTTTAATTTACTTGTATCCAGTCTCATCTCCAGCTTTGTAGAACCAATGAGGTTGTTCCCATCCTGCATGAAAGCCCATTGAACACTTTGTTTTCAGCAAATCATACAGCCCACTAGTCCTCTCTGTTGGTCTCCCAGCAAATCTTTCTTCTTTAGGGTAAATAACTAGGGAAGAAAGAAAAAAACTCTACGTCACAGGACAGAATATATAAAAATGTGTATGTAAACAGAAATCTAGAGGCAGGCTTTGTTGGAATTAATCTTCATAATATAAGTACAATAAAAAATATTTTCTTACTAATGTTATTAAAACCATAAGATTCTCTTGCTTTGGCTGCTGTGTATTCTGTAGTGGTCCACTTCCCGTAGCGATTAGGATCTAATTCTATCAGGTCAAACGGAGGTTCCCCTTCAAGGATCCAGTCACTCAGGTACTTCCCTATGCCACCAGCATGTATAATTCCATACCTTTAAAAAAACACAAAGAGCCCTGCAGTGTCAAAACTTTTTTTTTTTTTCTGGTTGATACTGGCACATATTACTAATATATCCCCTCATTCTTCCTCTTTGTTGTTTGTTCTATTTTGTCTTGTTTTCCAAGATTACATTCTTTCCGGACAGATAGTTCTACTCCACCATCAGTAGCAAAACTCCACTGATGCATGGCAATTGTGGTGCTTAAGACCATAGAAAACTATTTCTTTATCTGAAGTTCAGAATTTAATAATCTCTTCAAGGAATATTAACATTCAACACTAAATAAAGTTCTCAATTAAATGATACCCATTAAATACATTTTCTAGTCATAAAATACATCTTTTACAATCAAATTTGATTAAACCAGACTCAGAATTGAAAACCAGACTAGCACATTCTAACAGCTATGGTGAATATTTACATTACAGAGACAAGAACAGCAGCAAAAGTTAAGAGATAATATTACTGAGACAGTCTTAAATAAATTGAAATAATAGCAATACCTACTACATTGCTCCACAGAAAATCAGAATTTTGGGAAACTGGGGATAAAACTAGGAGACTTCTTTAAGTGGTGCCAGAACTGAGAGCTGTCTTTTCTTACTCGATCTGTCCTTTCCATACTCCAGTACTACAAAGACAAATGGTTCCAGAAAATTTCTGCTACACAAATACACATGTAGGAATTTTCTTCTACCAGTGTGTAGCAAAAGCTGTTCCTGCTTCTATCTAGTAAGTGTGTGAAACATCAGGACATAGAGTTATTTTGTTAGAAACTTTCCCATGTCTCAGAAAGTACCCAACTATCCTTCTGTATAGACAGCCAATGAAAACAAATTCTTAAGTTATTTATGGAGTGCTCCAATGAGTAGAACAGAAAAAATCTTGAAGAAATAGTAAACCTGTGCAAAACCAAGAAAAAATTAGCATGCAGCAATTCATAGAGTCACACTGAATAGTAAAGCTAAAATAAACCTGAACTGCCATAAATTTTGCATTCTGAATTCTATGTCCTGTATTAAAAAGATAAAGATGTTCTGAAAAAAAATAATATTGATCCTATTGCATATGCGTAAGAAGACTTAGTCCTATCACTTAGTCCTGGCACTTTCTAGCTGTACAATTACTGACCTCATAGTCTCCATGAGATTACTTTGACAGAGTGCTATTGTTGTTATAGGGAAGTGTTTTGTTTGTTTGTTTGTTTGTTTTAATAAAACAAATATCAAGCAGTCGAGTACATGAACATACTCCTTTGGCATGTTCATCAGAAATCTTCAGATTCACAGCACAAGTTCATATCAGACAGCCGATATGGTAAGGATGACAGCTTGTAAACAGCCACTCTTTAAGTAATGCTGAATAGCTAGCCAATTCTGCTGTTGATTTAGTTAAGTAGCTGCTAGGTATTCATGGGTTTCAGTTTTGTAAACATAGCTCCAGAAGAAATTACAGCCATCTCAAGTTTCCCTGCACCATTCAGCGCAGCCAGAAGCAGGGGAAATGCAGCACAGAGCACACTATGGATGGCAACAACTGAAATGCAGTGAAACTTTTTTATCTTCAGCTAATGACTGCTGAGATAATGGCACAAAACTTCCATGTGCAAGACAGTCCAGCTAGCAGCCCTGCAATGTGGAGTTGCTATGACAAGTACAGATCTGCACCTGGGCTGACTGGTTTCTGTATTCTGCAGAGCTTTCCATCATTGAGCACACATAGCTCACTATCTACAGTGCTCTCAGCAGAGTTTACATCATCAGTGATGTTAAATTATCCAGGGTGTCCAAACCCCTCTTCAACTCAGATAAGGAGAGCTGACTGTATTAATAAATCTTTGTTCCGCTATAGTTTGCAGTGATGGCACGGTATATCTGTAAAGAATGGTACAGCTTAGGAGTTCCAGTCTTCATATGGAGAGTTAGAGAAACCTGCCTTACACAACATGCCATTCAGTTTTCTTCCAGTTCCTGCCAATGATACTCCGGTCCATGCAGTCTTCGCCATCTGTGTCCTATTCCACAAGCGTCATACTTGCTTGTGATCCCTTCTCTCTGATTTTTGAAGTTTTTCATTCCAATCACTTTTCCTAGGAAATCCAAGTCCCTGAATACAATAGTCCCTTTTCTAGTTACTTCATCCCAGCTTCATCCATTTTTCTACTGAATATTTCTTTTTCTGCAGGAAAACTCCTACTCAGTCTCTGGCTGTACAATAGAACTGGACAGAATTTGAGAAGATCAACTGAGTCTCTGTTAAGTGTTCATTAGCCATAACTTTTATAAAGGCTAGTGAATGGTCCTCATCTATAGACTTTTTGAAGAATGGGACAAAGATACATCTTCTAGGAGAAAGGTCACTGCTGCCAAAAGGAATGTGAAGTTCATTCTCAGCAAATAGGAACATTGGAGCTCTCTGAAAGAAAGACTTCCACCAAAAAAGCTTAACATGGCAAAACAACATCCCTCACAATAAACTCATTCTTTTGAGTAGTTATACTACCTTGACACCAACTTCCCTGAATAGAATGCTAGCCTCTTGTTAAAAATTTCAAAGCTATAAATAACTGAAACCAGTTGGGAAGCATTGAGCAACCTTAATAATAAACAGTGCTATATGCCCTGCTAACTATACTTATTAACCTCTTTGCACATTAAAATACCTAGCATGCTGCTAATTTTAGATAATAAAAATCCTCTAAACTAACAGCACTAAGTCCTCTGTCACAATGTCCATTCCAGCTGACTGTGAGATAAGGATTTGCTAATGCACACGAAAGATTACAACACTGGCAGAAACACCACTGTGACCCAGAAGTGCAGAACGAGTCAAAAGTCCCTGAAAAGCAGACAAAGTAATCCACTGACAGCATTATAATTGCAACCTGTGTCTGTATGTTTAGAGATTAATCAGATTCCTGAAATAAGTTTTTTTAAGAAATTTAAGCATACAAACCGGTCTCCAGTTATTCCTGTATGGAACTATGATTCTGCTCCCATTGATGCCAGTGAAGGAAAACAGGCTCCAAAGTCTGGCAGCATAGTAATGAACTTAAATAGTCTTTCTAGTGAACTAGAACTAGGCAAACCACTTTTGTAACTGTAAGTTCTGCAAATGTTACTGAAAGATAACAGTTTTGTTGGTTCTTTTTTTTAATCCAAGCAGCAAAGGTGAACACCTTTCACAATGAATCATTGCAAAATTACCAAACTCTTTTATTTTGAGGGCCTCAGAAAGCAAGTCAGTGATACTGCTTTATCTTATGATCTAAGGGTTTGTTTGGTTTGGACAGAAAGAACACTAGAAAAAGTTTAGCTGGATTTTGAACAGCAAATTAGGCAATTGGAAAAGCAATGTAAACAGAACGTGTTCAATAACATGCACCTGGAATTGAATTCAGTTCTTTCTATCAATCTTAAGAACAACAGGCAAACTAAGACAATTAAAAATAAGCCAGTTAAGAGTTTTGCCACTGAATTCAGTGCAGCCAGACTATATTAAATGCAAATCACACTCAAAGAAAATGTCATAATGGGCAGAAGAGAAGAAACACCAGTAAAACACCCATTTTTGTTGTCACGTTAGCCTCATCACAATATCCTCAACTTTAGTGATACCATCTTCAGTATTTATGAATTTATGAACACAACATAATATAAAGTGATGCATAAAATGAACTGGAGAATTCAGCATTTTCATGGCTTTAACTTGCTGAGCAGACAGTACCAAGTACTACTCACTTCCTGTTGCTTCATGAAATATCACAGGTATTGGATAGATTCAGAATAAAAGGAGGAAACAAACTGAAAAAAATGCTAGAGTTATAAGATGAAGGAGAGAAGGTTAAGTTCTTAATATGTGGATAGAGGTTATTAAGACTATTTCCAATCATATTTCGCATGGGTACAAAAAAAAAAAAAAAAAAAAGAAATTTGCAAAGCTTAAGCTAGCTATTATTTTAATAGTAAGACAGGGAAAATTTGTCACAACAAATTTACTCACCCAAACCCAATAGCTACCCAGTAATTTCTGACACCTTGATGTGGTCCCACCATAGGAAGAATGTCTGGAGAATAAGTGATAGGACCTGAAACTGTGTTTATGATGTTTGCTTGTTTCAGAACTGGAACCATTTCCATAGCAGCCTCAATGTATTCCATTATTCTGTCTAAATCAGACTCAAAAAGTTCTTTTCCAAAACCTGAAGAAATAATATAAACTTTTTAATTACATTGAAAATACTTAATCTTTAATTATAGTTATGCAATCTAGATATATAAAATTCACACAGAATTTATCAGTGTGAATAGTGTGAATTTAGCACACTACATGAGAAAAATGATATGTATAAGCCCCTAGTTAATTGCAGGATCAAGTTTACTGTCAGTGCAGCTACACTGTCTTTTATGCATATTTGTTTAACCCTAAGGTCATGAAAATTCAACAAAGAAGTGGAAAAGAAGTGGAGGAAGTCTGAAAACTTCCTTCTCTGTTAAGATCAATTTATTTTTCTCATTATGGCAACAAACTGAGGAGAGAAAAAAAGATACTGCTTGGGTCAGCTTATGACTTCCATGGCATTTACTGAATTATATATTTCAGTTTTTAGTCTTTGTAGAAGGACTCTGTAGAAGGACTTGTCACTACTGAAGGCAATAAGCTTGGGAAGCTGTGACAGTGTCATACAATGCCCAACAATTTTAACTGTTCTTCTTTAGAAAACACCTTCTGTGGGTTTTTGTTTTAAACATCAATACACTGACTTAAGATAAATTTCTGTGAAAAAGTTAACCTGGAGCGTAAATGTAACATGGTTATTTTTTTTATAATGATCAGCAGTACAGCACATTTGTGATACTTTTGTACAAAAATTCAATACAAATCTATAGCTCTCTTCCACTTATATCTGAAAGCAGTATTTTCATTAAGACATTCCTTTGCTTCATCTCTGCTCCTATTTGAAAACCACATTACTACTGAGAGAACAGTCAGAAGTTCAAAGCCCCTGTCAGTATGCTGGACAGGAGTGAAACTTAAAAAAAAAAACAACCCTGCTCAGATGCAAAAGAGCGTATAAAACAGATTTAGTAAAAAGATTTAATCACAACAAATAGACACCTATTCAGAGACTAGGCAAGAATATGTTGCAGTTGTGTATTTTTAATGTCAAATTTTTATTTCTATTTTCTTTTTATATTAGAGGTCACGGCTATTCTTTGAAAAAAAAAGTTTATGCTCTTCAATTAATCATGTATTGCAAATATTTTCTGTTTTCCAACACATTTGGCATTTTGACATGGTGGGAATAATACAGACTAAAACATATGCTACTGAGTATCAAATCTAAAGATTTAATATTTTCAGTTACCTGGTGGGACTCCATTTGTTACCCAAGAGTCCTGCAGCTTCATCTTCTCCTGACTTTCATATGGACCAAATAAAAGACCGTCTCTTTCTTGCCTTAGATAATATGATCCTTCTAAGTCACGAATCACAGGCAATTCTGTTTTTAGGGCTTTCACTTCAGGGACAGTTGATGTCACAACATACTGATGATGGACAGGTATGACAGGGTGCTGCAGGCCAATCATTTTGCCTATTTCACGGGCCCAAAATCCTACAGAAGACAACAAATACAAACATTCAAACACTTTCCATACAATTAATGGAAAATAACAATAAAACATTGTCTGCTTTCTGGAATGTGAAGAATCTTTTTCCACGCTTTCTCTTTTAAAATTATTTCTTGTATTATCCAGCATTACTTTCAGTCCATAATTTGACATTCTTGTTTCTAGTTTCACCACCAAACATTACTTGAGTATATAGCTATTCAAAAACATCACTGAAAAAATAAGTTTCCAAAACTTCAGAAGACAATTCAGTTATCAGTTCCACAACTCATGGTTTGTTTCAGAGTAGGTCTGCAATGCACAGAAGTCAAAAACACAAGCAGAAAAATTAGCTCATATCATAGCTGTTGTCCTAGCCTCTTACTCTCAAACAAAACAGCTAGAATGCTTTTCCAAGAGAGTAGTGAAGTCTTAACACAGCAAGGCAGTTCTTTCATCTAGCTAATTTTTCCCTCTTCTTTTATATGTACCATGCAAATTCTATTAATTATGCCTTCCAGGTAATAGTCAATTCACTATGATTTTCTCATTGGCAACTGTTGAGTGTGCTCTCTTGTAGCTGTCTAATTAAATATTCAGATATAAACCATGACCAGAAAAAGCAAGTAACAATTTCCCAGTCCTTTAGCCTGCTCAAGGTCCTTCATGTAAACTCCTACAGATAAATTAAAGGCCTAAATCTTCTCTGCTAATGTCCTTCTTGACCAGTTGTTTCTACCTTGCAAGACACATTCACTTAATACATACTGACGATGTACCAGCGTCTTCTTAGTTCGAGCTCTGAAGCATGACTCATGTCTGCTGTGAGGTTGTTATGTATAGATGAGAGAACAAAGCAGATACAAAAGACTGAGATGGCACCTGTTCTTACAAGCTTGGAATGTCCTTCAACATCACTCTCCTGACTCTTTGGATGAAAGAATGGAGATCTCAGAAATGGGAATGAAAGCAGAGAATCCGACAAAAAGGAATTTCAGAGGAGTCTGTGGCAACAGTGTTAGGGTTGTGAGAAGGTAGAATGGAAGAAGAGGCTGAGGCAACAGGGCCTTTCAAATAAAAGGTAGTGGGCTGCACGTACCCCCTAAAAGGAGGCTGTGCGGACTAGTTCCTGTATAATTGGTCAGCTCCAATTCAAAGAAAAGCTGTCAGCAAGACCTGCTATCTAACAGAGCTTTCCTTTCTCCTAGGAATACACTCATGATGATCAGCTTTTCTTTCTTTTTGCAGCTTTTTGTAGCTTATTTTTCTTCTGCATCAGACTTTTCCATTCTACATTTTCCAAGAATTGGTCAAATTTTATCTCCTAGGGCCCTGTGAGCACTAACATGTCTCAGTGATCTCACCTGTGACATTCACCTACATCCCTGCCCAGGGGTCCTGTAGCCCCACTTCTGCTCCGCTCAGTACCAGTCTGAGCTGGTTTGATTGGAGGTGTGCCTGTTTACAGCTCTGTCACAACCATGCCTGTGCCTGGCCATGGACCTCATTGATCCAGACCCTGATCTGTGGACTACTTTCCAGCTTGGCCTCAACCCAGTCTCATCACCATGGGCCTGCTTGTTGATAACTGAGCAGTCTCTGACCCTGGTTACTATTGACTTCCTGTCTTGTCTGTGGCCTGGGATTGTCACTGTGGATATGCCTGTGCATCTTCCACACAAGTCTGTCTGGAAATCTGGACAATGGGCAGATGACAAGTGCCAGTCTGTGGCCTGCCCCACTCTCTCTCTTGCACTGTTTGGGACGAGGCCCTTGCTGGCAAAATCCCTGCCCTACTGGCCTTATTTCCATGCTTCCACAGAGAGCAACCATCCCATGCTGCTGGCTAACACTAGCTTGGGCATACATCCTCTCATCTCTGGCAAGGCCTAAAGCTAGAGCAATTAGAAAAGCGGAGTTGGGCTGTGTTGGCTTGGAGCCATTCATTCATGCCAAGAGGGCTGTTAATCTCCTTTTTAATATTCCAAGCCAGCCACAGGGTCTAACAGCCAGAGTTTTTAAAAATACAGTTTCCAAGAGAAAGGTTTTCTGTGGTAACTCACTTGAAAGTTGCTAACGGCCAGTTGAAGAGAGGGACAATGAAATCCAAGATGATGACCAACAAATTCAAACAATTAAAAGCCCCTGTTCAGTAAATAGTAAAAAAAAAAAAAAAAAAACAACAAACCAGTATCTCCAGTTCTGCATTTATCTTATATGTAAGACATTTGCTTCTGAACTGCATCCTCATTACTTGGGGAGACTCTTAGACAGAATAGTTGTTAAGCTGGTCAAATTAGTTCAGGTAAGATTGTGCCACAATTATACATAGATTCAAAACATCTTTTTAAGGCTTCTGAAACCCGATTTATGTTTCTTTATGCAGAGAACAACCAAAAAAACCCTAATGAAGCTGAATTTCCAGCACATCTTCAAGGGTTCCTCTGTTATTACATGACAAATACAAATGTGATTCTAAGCCCAGGCTAAGGGGACCTAAAGCTGACTAATAAAATCATTAGAAATAATAAAAAAATGAATGTATTCACTCATTTACTAGGCAGTCTGCACACTGCCCCTTTCTATCAAGTCCAGGCCATTGACTAGTCAACTACAAACACTGTTCACACGGGAATTACAGTAATGTAACAGTGCTGTAGACTCACAGAATCCTTAGGGTTGATTTATTTAAATCATATAAAAGAGAACTCTTCCGCCTAAATCAGCCAAAGGTCTGGTCTTTAATACTTCTGTTGCTGTTTCCAGATATCTAGTAAAGGTCATACAACCAATACCCAATAATTAGCAGGAATACTAATTGCATGCTTTGATTTCATAGAGTATTTTGTGACTTTTTCTATATTAAATCCTGGTGCAGGAAAAGCATGTACCAATAATTTAGGAATTTCTCAAATTTGAAAGTAAGGCTCTCATTTTCACAGTTCTGATATAGGAACACTGTAGATGTGTTAACATGACCACACATATATATATATGTATATATATAAATATATGATATAATGAAAAGACACATCAAGATCTGTAGGGACTTATTTTGATTTGGGCATTTTCAGGCCACCTCCAAAGAAAACAATTTTAAAGTAAGTTCAGTTAATGATCCATTTAAGAGTAAAGAAAGAGAAATAGCACACCTAGCATCACATGCTCTTTTCTTGCCAAAGAAAACATGCTCTTTTCTTGTTTAGATTTAAAAGAGATATTTGCAAAATAAATAATACTTCCAGACATGATATTCAAAGAAATTCAATATGCTGCTTACTTTGTAAAATAGAATTAGTGTGAAAAATATAGAAAGCAAACATATTCAAAATCCTCAGAGAAAGTAAAAACCGTACTTTTAGATCTTTGAAACTTAACTGTGTTGCTTTCAAAATTATTAAGGGTTTTTTGGTTTTTTTTTAACTACAAAAACATTGTTTCCAGAAATATATGGCAAGCAATTGATTTTAAACTGCCAATGAATTTAAAACAAGTACTTTAGGCGTGCTCAAAATAAAATCTTACATATTGTACTTCTAAAAAAAAATTCATACTTAAGCTAAATGCTTATTTAATTGTTCAAAACTACAACAGCTGGCATTTACTATATGAAATATATCATACTTTCTTTGTTTAAACTTTTTGAACCATGCGCAAAAGCCATTATAAACACAAAAATGACAACAGAGAGAATATGTTCTCTAAAACAAAATTATAATTGGAAGCAGATGTCAAGTTCTATCACAGATAGAAGAGATAAATGAGGGCATAAATTACATCTCAAGGACATTTATAAAGATTAAATTCTAGAGATTGCAAACATCTGATGCAGAACTATTTACTGGTGATATTACTGAGCCTATGTGTTCAACTATGAAATCTATCTCTTGTATTTAAAAAAATAGAAAATCCTCCATCACTACATATGTATAAATGGTAGTATACAGACTGTGCACAGACCTGAACATTTGTGTTTATATATGCATATGTACACTGCAGAAACAAACTGTATCAGCTATTTTTTTAGATTTTAATCAATTTTCTTTTATAAATAGGCTGAAAATCACTCCAACAAGCTCAATACCAGTTACATTATTTATTAGACATCTACTCTGTTCCAAAATGGAAATCTCACATAAGGAACAACTAAAGATTGGTTTAAACTACTTTGTTCCAATTCCAATTCCATGGCAGTTGCTGGTTGGGGATAAGGGAGCAAGAGAGTGTGGAGGGCCATTCTAGTGGAATGAGATAAGGCTGAGCAGAAAAATAAATGTTAGCTGGAGGAAAATTTATAAAAGATACGGATTATACAGTATTGTTCACATCCTTAGCCAGAATGTTAAGCCATACGTGCTTCCAGTGTTCATTCTGGCTGAACAGTTCGCAGTATATTTTTGGTTTAATAAGTTATTAAGTCAGAAGACTATGAAAAACTTGTAAGGGCTCATTTTGATTTTAACAGACTTTGAGAAGCAGTTATTAGAGAATTCTGCCTACTGTCAACTCGATGTATAAGCCAAAGTACACTACAAAAATGTAAAGGAAATTACTGTCTGTGATACTTCATCCATATGATGCAGAGCCAATATTTTGGAATTATAAATATCTACAAGTTTGGGGCCTACATAAGAAGTCTGACTGTCAAAAGAGCTCTTCATTCCATAATCTTGGAATGTTTATAGACAAATGCATCCATCCTGTCTAAGAAATGACACAAAGATCCTAGTAAGAGAAGTTATGATTTTTTGTAACTGAATGCTGTCATGAAACAGTTCATGACTCAAATAAACTAAGAATCCAAAGGCAATCTATATATTGATGCCTTTATCTTCTAGGTGCTTGGCTTTGCAGACTACATAAAACTGCTTTAATTTGATTTCCCTCTCTGTGTGGTTACCTGCTTTCTGATAAGTATACTGAACTCCTCTAGACCTCTTCAAAATGTCATTATGGCATACTACATTGACACCATGACAGTCCATGTGCAGCAACTCAAGGTAAGCTATTTCAGCAAGGCTAACAGCAACCACAGATGAGCAACTATGTATGTGAAGTATACATGATGAGAAAGCACACTTTTCAATGGGTTTCTCAGTCTTTACTGGAATGAGGTTAGGTTAGATATTAGGAGGAAGTTTTTCACACAGAGGGTGATGATGCACTGGAACAGGTTGCCCAGAGAGGCTGTGGATGCCCCATCCCTGGAGGCATTCAAGGCCAGGCTGGCTGTGGCTCTGGGCAGCCTGGTCTGGTGGTTGGCGACCCTGCACATAGTAGGGGGGTTGAAACTAGATGATCACTGTTGTCAGTTTCAACCCAAGCCATTCTACCATTCTGTGATCTAACACAGGGCTCTCTGCATTCCTTACATGAAAAGGTAACCTAGTACATACCATTTTTCACTCTCTCAAGTTACTCCTTCCCTATCCAACCAATTCATGTTTTCAAGTACTAGCCATAGTTATTGTACCCACCAACAAGAAGAGTATCTGTCTTATTCAACTCATTTAGAAAAACAAAAACAAAACCTGTTCCTTTTAAGCAGAAATGTCAGTTTGGACTCTTTAACAAAATGAAGAATAAAAATAGCATATTTATATATATATATATAGCATATATATAGCATATAAGATCCTTGCAGTTGAGAAATTTTTATTACGTGTAAAAATGTATTGTTAAGCAAAGTGTACATTTAAAATACTAAGCAAAGGACAACAAAAATCTTCTCTTTCAATGATATGTGGATAGAGCTAAATCTTAGAGAAAGATAATACTGAAGTGGGCAGTTATCTTATTTGGTACAAATTTTCAGTCTCTTTGAAAAAGAACCATGAAGATATTTCTACTTCATTTGTATATCCCATCTCCCTAAGTAGCTGTCATAAGATTTTCAAAGACAACATTCACAGACTGTCTCTTCTACACAACTTACTGCACAGTAGAAGGGGTCTCTGCTGCTTCTGAAACCTAAGAAGACAGCCTAACTAGTAAGTTCTGGAGACAAACCAGAAAGAAATATTATTAATGCCTAGTCAAGGGCAACTAACTGAAGAGTTAAATTTTCACAATAATGTAAATACACAGAGTATATTTTACCACAAACCAAATGAATACTCAAAACCATATCTTACTCATTTCTGTAAATCATACAATTCAGTACAGAACCTCAATGTTACCTGGTTTGTAAATCCAAAGAGAATGAAAATGATTATGTTAAATCCTACCTGCAGTATTGACGATTCTCTTCGCTTGAATTATCCCAAGTGGAGTTTCAACCTCCCATGTCCCATCTGATCGAGAGTTTAGGTTAGTCACTTGGACTGGGTAATTTAATTGGGCACCGTATTTTCTGGCTCCCGCAGCCAAAGCCATTGTCAGAGAATAGGGATCTATGTGACCATCTCCAGGGTTATACAGGCCTGCTAAAACCTAAGTGAAGGAAAAATCACACAAAATGAAAGGATATAAAAATCAAAATCAACTAATTTTGTTTCAAAAATGCTTTATTTTATAAATGTGATCTACTTCTTTGATTTCTTGAGTAAAACTTACGGAGACAAATCAAAATAAATTTAAAAAACATAGAATATTAAAAGGCTGACTTAGCAGTGGCCCTAAAGAAGTAAAATTCCTCAGTTCTCCCATATAATTAAAGGCTCCAATGCTTTAGAATTATAGCATACAGTATTCACTAAAGCCCGAGTGATTTACTTCATCCATTTTTTCACTGAAAAACAAGAGTTTCTCATACCATTTGTATGAATAGGCTCTAGAATTAAATATCTGGTTGTTATTTAAATGCAGTAGAAGTTATTTTTCTTAAAATTAGGTTCTTTACCTTATCCATGTTCAATAAGGGGAATAGCTCTTGCACTTTCTCAGGTGTAATCAGGTACTGCTCTGTTGGATGCCAACCAGCTCGAGTCATTTGGTATTTGAATTCATCCACCCTAGTAGGGGTTGACGCAATTCTGATGCTGCCAGGCTGGTGAAACCCCACAGCCTAAATGAAAAAGTAGAAGTGAAGTACTGTAAGAACCTTTACTTAACTCGATAAATGGAAAGTCCACAGAAATTTTGTCATTAACATGACAAAAAAGACTTGTGTAAGTCAAGCAATCTTGAAGGAACAGGATCTAAAGTAAACTCTTTGAGATTTTTTTTTTAATGTTATCAAATTAGCTTCCCAAATAAATACATAATATCGTTAAAAAAGTTCTAAAAAGCTTCTGTTAAGATTTGATTAATATTTGAATTTATAGATTCACTTTCAAAACGATCAGATACATCTGAAAATAATATGTAATAGTTTACAATAAAAGTTATCACCTACATAGTTTTCTACTGAGATACAGCAGAATAAACCTAGCTCACCAAGCACTTTTATTAACACAATGAATAATCTCTCTCCCTTTTGTCTTTCCAATAATGTAGACATCCTTATACATTTAGACACCAAATGCTCACTTTTTGGTATATATATTATGTACTTCGTCTTTTCTCTGTTACTTCACAGGGTGTTAATATGGCTTTTAGTTGAACTTCCAATGACTACTTGCTGTGTTATCTTAGATAGCTATAGAAAGTGGCAATAGAAAGAAGAAAAAAGCTTTTTATGACAATTAACAAGTTAGTAGACTGGTACTATGAGTATCATGCAGTTTCTGCTGAAGCAAGCATGAGTGTAGTAAATGAATGGCTGAATGATGCCAGATAAGGAATACAACACCCTCCATTCCTTAAGTCGCTAAATAAAAACATGGCTCTTAAAGGGATAGGAAGAATTGCAGCAATCTTCTCAAGTACTATCTATCATATCATATGAAATTAAAAGTGGACATGTTTAAAGCAGGAATGTATCATAATCAATCCATTCATTCCAGATCCTTGATGCTATTTTAGTTCCTACATGAAGCTAAAGTTGCAGACACTCTATCTGCTGAACTTCTGAGATGTTTGATGAAAACCATCTTCTTAAACTTTAGAAAGATCTTGGAAACAATCTAAAATATTTACTGATTAAGCATCAGACTTTAGCACTGACATGCAGGCAGAAGAACATATTTAAATACAAGGTAAGACTTGTGATAGTCTTGAACAATTATATGCAATCTGTCCATTCCAAACTCTTTTGTAAGACTATTAATAAGATTTATATTTATTTGAATTAATATTTAAAAAGTCAGTTACCTGTCCAGTCTCTTCTTCCAGCTTTTCATAGAGTTTGATGCTGTAAGCATGGATCTTCTTCAAGTTTATTCCAGGGTGAAAATAAGTAGTTAAGCCAGCCTCAAGAAAGAAATAGGAACAACAACATAGTGATACGATTAGAAATGCAATGTTTTCTTTCCCTCCTTTCAACTGTCATTCAAAAAGGAACTGTCAAGATACTGTAAAGAAAAGCAACACATGGATAGAGACAAGTGCCATGAAAATAAAACCAAAATTCTTTCCCTACTTAAGGCATTCTTCTCTGCACACTTGTTTTTCCACCTGCCCTTTCTCATCAAATTTGGCAGCTCCTGATACTCTTGCAGTTGTCCTCTCCTATGGTTTCCTTTCTTCCTTAAATTATAGAGTTGTTTCAAATCGTTTGGAAGTGACACACAACCCACATCAACTTCAGTCTCTGCAGTTGCTGTGTTTCAGAAGTAATATAAGATATTGGTATTTGTATTTTGCACACTGTTTCTCTAGGTTTGACTTCAGAAAGCTGAGGAGCCCTATTGGGCACATGCAAACACGTAAGCAAGAAGTTACTACAGCCTTTTCTGCATTTAAGGAAACTATTTTCTTGCCTCCTCTAGAGCCAGCTGTATCACTCTAATGACATTCATAACTGCACGTATTGAGCGACTAAGAAAAGCAGAGTTTAGGTCTTACAGTAGTTAGGCACATGTCTTTGTATCTCAAGCATCTGAGTGAAATCCTTCTTCCAAGTGAAAAATCACATTACATTTTCAAGTAACTACATTGTTTTAAATATGTTCATAGCATATCCCCCTTTGCTGACTAAAATAGATCTTATTCATAGATAATGATTGCTTTACATATTAATTCAAATTATATAAAGGATTCATTTACTTATATGGATATATTAAAGTACAGTACAGGGTTTTTTAAACCAGTTAAAGGAGACCGACACCAGAGTACACCTTTGAGTTCATAGCCATTTTGAGGTAAAAACAGGAGGGAATCCAAAGGTAAAAATTAACACAGCAGAGTTTTAGGCTAACCACTGTAAAAAGTTTTTCCAACTGCCCTGCATGTGGATTTTATCTTTCCGATATGCTATATACAGCACTATTTTGTACCAAATAAGTGAAATTACATATTTTTTAGTTGTGAGTGCATTTTATTCATAAATTTGGCTGCAGCTCCCTAAGCATGTATGATATTGTTTGTTATCCAAACAATCTGAATTTAAAAATGATCATGCAAATCTGTAGGAGCAAAAAATATCCACCAAGGGCCACATTAAATGCAAAACAAGGAGGTCCTTAAGATAGGTAAATACTCTACAAAAATGTTGCTTGTCTTTTCTTGTTAGGATATTGCACCATCTATATCATAATGGACACAGAGACAGGTACTTGAGTGCTTTTAATCTCACTTGATTCACATGGTTTTATGAAGTTGTGAAGACATTATATAATTTCCTCAGTTAACTAAAACCCAGGGCTGCTTCCTTGGAAAATCTGTAGTTTAAACTTTCTTGCTTCATAAAAAATAAGCCCTAATGATCTTTTTTCTGCATATAGAGAATAAAGCAATAAATTAGGCACTGAAGTGTTTACATTTCTTCAGCCATTCACAATAATCAATGGGTAATTCATTCATTTGTACCTGGAAGTTGTGCCATCTCATATTATTTTTACTGTCTTCTATTATTTATAAAAACGTTTTCTGTTTGATCTTTTGTTCTTTTTCTGAATTTAGCAATACCTTTTCCAAAGCTGAGGAAATTCCATGTTAGCGGCCACTATTAGTAAAGTAATTTAAACCAGTGAACCACAGATTACTTACAAATTAGCTATAAAACTATGCCAAATGCATTTAATTTCAAGAATCCATGACATTTTTAAGCGGAGAAAAGAATTCTAAACACGTGGCTTCTCGTGAAAAATGTTTCTGATTTCATGTAATGAAATGTAATGAGGAGGCAAATATAACTTGACTGGACTACAATAAAATTAAGATAATATAATTACATAATAATTTATGCTGAATAAGACCTCAGGAATTCTGTAACCTTATGCTTTATGCAGGGTCAGCTGCGAGATCAAATCAGTTTCCCCAGTTTTCTCCAGTCTGGGAAATATCTCTAAGAACAGAAACTGCCATTTTTAATACTTTGCATTTGTACTTGATAAATTTCATGAAGTTTTTGTCATTCCATCCCTCCAATCTATCCTCAACAAGTCCCTGAAAAGGCACTGCCCTTTATTGTATTGATTGGTTCCCACAGTTTGGTGTTAACTGCAAACTTGACAAGCATGCACTTTTGTTATTTGCTCCAAATCACTGATAAACAAGACGGGTCCAAGGACAGACCCGTGTGGCAACTCAGTTGTTACCAACTTTTGGGTATAGCATGATCCATTAACCACTACTCTCTGAGGTCAAGCATCCAGTCTTTTATCCACCTAGTTGTCCTTGCCATACAGTCCATCAGATTTTAAACTGAACACATAAGTATTATGGGAGTCATAATAGTCTTGCTGAAGTTCATGAAAATGACATCAGCTACTCTCCTCTTGTCCCCAGTTTCAGTCATTCTGTCATTGAAGGTACTGGATTTGGTCAGGTATGCTTTATGCTCAACAAATCCATGCTGACTGTTCCCAATTATGTTCTTTATGGGCCCAGACATACATCTGAAACTTGCTTCACAATTTCCTAAGAACCAAAGTAAGGCTAGTTGCTGGCCTTTAGCACCCCAGTAATCTCTCTGGTTTCTTAGAAAGTTGGACACTTTTGGCCTTTTCCAGGTGTTGTGTACTTCCTTTAACACCACAGTCTTTCAAAAATGATGTAACAGCAATCTTGCAATGCCATCAATACATCCTTGGATTCAGACCATGTGAGCCAATGTATATTCATCAATCAAGTTCTAGTGATGCCTAACTCGATACTTACTCACTGCTGGTAGTTCCTCTACTCCCCAGCCTCTGTTTGTAATCAGAGAAGCACAAGAAACTTTGCCAGTGGAAACTGGTATTGGAGGCATTGAATACTTCAGACTTACCAGTGTGCATTGTGGCTGAATCACCCACCTCATAAAGCAGGAGTCCCACATTTCCCTTCTTCAGCATTTTACTACTAACGTAACAGTGGAAGATGTTGTTGGCTTTAATGTTCCTTGCCAGTCTCAACTGTAGTTACATATCCTTTGCATGCCAATACAGTTTTTTAAAATTACCTCTTTGTAGCCTATTTCTGCTTCCACTTCCCATGAACTGCACTGAAATTGTCACGATTTCCCTGTTTAGCTTAGCTGGCCTCCCAGAATGCCACCCTGAATTTCACAGTGTACCATTCTCTTATTTGAAGATTTGCTTTAGGATTTACTCTATTTTTGTGAGATAGATTTTGTTCTTGTAGGTGAACATGAGCAATGAAAGTAATTTTCTTTAGAACTGGCATTATGCTATAAAAATACAGAGATTTGAAACCATGTTTATAGATTAGACTTTACATTTGGATGTATTCTTTTCATTTTATTCGAGTCTGTTCAGCATTCTGAAGTGAAACAGAATTAACACTGTTACCACCTACTATATCCGCTCTTGCAAGTTTGACCAAATCTTAACACGTTTTTATATGTCTTGTGCTGTGATTTATTAACTATCAGCAGCAAAATCAATTGAATGTTGCAAGAATCGGTATTCCATAACAAAATGATACATTCCACATTTTCTTAGAAAACATATTCTCAAAAAATGACTACACAAAAACTACTTGTTGAGATGGGTAAAATGTTGAATGAGTAACATACGCATAGTTCAGTTCTTAGAACTTCAGTAGTAAGTTTGCCAACAGTCTGATCTGCACTATACTACAACTTCAAGAACTCTTCGAGTTCGTGAAGCCTTAGTCCTAACATACTTTACATTCATATAATAATCATTACTTTGTTGTGGTTAGGTAGGAATAAAGAAGAGCAGCACATGCCCCATTATTTTTATCTACTCATTACTTCTCATCATTCTCTCCATTTTGTTTTCATTTCAATGTAATTAAAGTCAGAGAAATTTATCTCAGACCTGAGACATGGAATAGTTTTGGCAGTAACACTGAAGGAGTATGATCTATATGAAACATGATCCTGAGCTCTGGCAGGACTTGTTGGCCTATGAAAATGAGAAAATCTGGTACATTTTAGCAATATCTGAACTAGGCTTTCTCAGGTTTTGAGGCTGCAGACGAGATGCTATGTGCCATTTAACATGCTACTTACATGTATAATTTTCATTTAAACCTAGTATTGTAACACTTTGAGGAGGTCACTGGTAAATATACAGTACCTACTGCAATGAAGAACTGACAATCACAATTATCTCTTTGATCTTGTGAAACAACTTTTTCATCTTCAGATACAGCACTGTAACGCTGAATTCAATGAAGAGCAATACTAGACTATGTTTTTTACTTCATAGCTATCCATTTATGACCTCTCTCCTACTAGGTGTCTTACTGTGTTAATCACTGCAACCTGCTGCATCAGGGACTACAAAGCAGCCCTCTTCTTGGCTGTGGTACCCTCCATATCTTTACAACAGAGCTCTTCACGCAGTGCTCCATCATTACATTCACTGAGACGTGAGAGCAAAAATACTGAAGGATTGGTTTACATAATTACAAACAACAATCTAGGGGGCGAGTATAACAAAAAAACACTTAGAAACAAATTCCCCCTTCACCGTTTTGGTTTCTTATTCATTGAGGGCATTTTTATTATTTTTTTTACACACACATGATTCTGTATATGCACTGGATAAATAGATTTCAGTCTGCGACTCTCACATGCTTAAAAATATTTATTCAAACATTTCACAATCATCATTCCATTTCAAGATGCATGATCTGACACTATAGACCACGTTGTTCTGTTCTCTTTACTGCCATCAGCTATGCTATGATTGTCTAAAAGAAAGGTAATCACTGGATTTTGTTTTCCTAAATCCACAAAGTGTGTTTTGTTCTGTTTGTAGAAAACTAAGTAAAACAAAACATAAATACACTTAAACGTCTCAGGCAGTGTTTTTTCTAAATATAATTTTTTACTATTATTGTCTTGTAAGGCTCCAAACACACAAAGCACCCGTACTATAATGAAGTATTTCAAACTTCAGACCTGTTCCTCTGGGAAAAGCTTGAGAATACAAATCAAACATGATCTGTTTGAGTCATCCCCCACTCAGGTATTAGTTATAAATATTGCATAAATGTTCTTCTGTATATTAACAGAGTAAATCCAGAGACAGCGAACTGTTGCTTTTATATCCACTTTTATTACTACACACGGGAATAGCTTTCTCCTAACCTCATCTGAGTGTAGACTGAAATGAATATAAAAAGCATCTATTATTGTGGCAACCTTTATTTTATTTTATTACACTATCTACTCCAGACATTGACATACAAAATACGTAGTTACAAACACGCACACTGTATAGCACTGTAAGAGGAGGTGTCCTCACCTGCATTACACATATGTTTTTTAGTTCTTTTCCTAAGAGTAGAGGCCTTAGGAAATCATGGTTTACAGTTGTTACTTTTGCCCCTCCATGATTCTGTGCAACATCAGAGGTGGCAGGAAAGAAAGCTGTTGTCTCTAAAAAGAATCAGTTTCTGGGACAGTGATTTTCCTGAAAACTAGACACTGCTGCTGCTTCTCTATCACTTTTCTTTCAGGATACCACATGTATTAAAAATGATTAAGCATAAAATAATGCCAAATTTCACACTCCTGGTTTATGCATCACTTCCAGTAATAAACTGTGCAGTATAAGCTAAATTACTTATGAAGTAAAAATTTGAGTTTTAAAAATCCAACTTAAACTAAAGTTTAAAGTCTAAATCCAGTTAATTACCAAAAATGTGTAATAGTACTAACAGTTACCTTTCAGCAGTTCCAAAATACAGTCAGTATTTGCCCAAATTTTCACAAATGAGGAAAGTATACTGTGGATAGCTAAATCAATTTTCAAAACTCACACAGGAAGTCTATACAGAGCTAAAACTGTAACAAACTGTTGTTAATCTCAGAGATTAACAAAATATTCCTTACTGCGTGCCAAGTAGATCCCGCAGTGAGCTCAGATTTTTCCAGTAGAACGACATCCTTTAAGCCAGCCTTAGCCAAGTGATAGGCTAGACTAACACCAACACAGCCGCCTCCAATGATCACTGTGTCTGCTCTATCTTTCCCCAAGGAAGGAGATCGGTGTTCTTTCCTAGGGGAAACAAAACAGTTACAAAAAGACAGTTGAACATTTGTCCACTTTCACTGCTTACAGCTCCAAAAATAACACAATTTGATCTTTGCTTGGTTGTCTAAGTGCCTTAGAACTTTAACCTACTCACGTTTATCTTCTTTTTAAACGCTCTTAAAAAGTATTAACACATATATAGTACTAATAAATCCACAAAGCAAATGTAGCTCCAATATTTGTTATTTGTCCCATTTACTCTTATCTCTGGTTCTCGTTTCTTAATGACAACCTGCAACATAAAAAGCAACATAAAAATCTGGCTTCCCAAAGATGCTATGGTGTATGCAACACAGTCTTCTGAAAATTGTGATCAGCATGGTTGTGGTCAGTGGGCAGAGTCTAGTTTGAGGCCTGTAGCTAGTGGTGTTCCCCAGGGGTTTGTACTGGGTCACTTTTACTCGACATCTTCATTAGTGTCCTGAATGAACAGACAGTATGCACCCACAGCAAGTTTGCTGATGATAGAAAGCTGGGCAAAGTGGCTGACACACCAGAAGGCCATGCTGCCACTCAGTGAGAAAGGTTGGAGAGTTGGGTAGAGAGGAATTTTATGAGGTTCAACGTGGTAAGTGTATTTTTCTAAAAATGGGGAGGAATAACTGCACACATCAGAACAGATAAGGGGATGACCTGCTGGAAAGAAGCTCTGCAGAGAAGGGCCTGGGTGTCCTTGTAGGCAGCAGGTTGGCAATGAGCCAGCAGAGTACCCTAGCGGCCAAGAAGTACAACGGTACCCTGAGATGCATTAAAAAGAGCATGGGCAGGAGGTTGCGGGAGGTGATTCCTCCCCCTCTACCCTGCCCTTGTGAAGCCGTATTTACAATACAGTGTACAGCTCAGTGCTGCCCAGTTCAAGAAAGACCAGAAACTACTGGATACAGTCGAGCAGAGTGCAACAATGATGATGAGGGACCTGGAGCATCCCCCTTCTGAAGAAAGGCTGAGAGACCTGGGACTGTTCAGCCTGAAGAAGACTGAGAGGGGATCTGATTAATGTTTACAAATATCTGAAGGGTGGGTGTCAAGAGGATGGGACCAGGCTTCTCTAGGTGTTGCTGGGTGGTAGAACAAGGGGCAGTGGGCACAAAGCTGGAGCACAGGAAGTACCTGTGCTCCAGCTTTGTACCATACAAACATGAAGAAAAACTTAAACACTTCGGTGGTGCCAGAGAACTAGAACAGGCTGCCCACAGAGGTTGTGGAGTCTCCTCCTGTGGAGGTACTCAAAACCCACCAGGATGCTTTCCTGTGAAACCTACTTTAGGGAATAAGTCTTTTGAGGAGTAGCTGAGGGAAGCGGGATTACTTACTCTGGAGAAGAGCAGGCTCAGGGGAGACCTTATCACTCTCTACAAGTACCTGATAGGAGGTTGTGATGAGGTAGAAGTCAGCCTCTTCTCTCATGTAACTAAAGGGAATGGCCTCAAGTTGCACCAGGGAGATGCAGATTGGACATTAGGAAATACTTCTCAGAAAGAGTGGTCAGGTGTTAGAACAAGCTGCCCAGGGCAGTGGTGGAGTCCCCAACCCTAGAATTGTTCAAGAAATGTTTATATATTGTACTGAGGGACATGATTTAATGGCAACTATTGCTGATAGGTGAATAGTTGAACTGGATGACCTTGGAGGTCTTTTCCAATCCTGGTGATTCTGTGATTGTATGAACCTGCTGTAGCAGCAGGTTGGACTAGATGATCTTCAGAAGTCCCTTCCACCCCTACAGTTCTCTGATTCTGTGAAAGTGCCTACTTAGGAAAGCTCTTTAATGTGTAAGCATCAGTGCATCAGTGTTCATGAACAATGAAACTTAGTTTTTATTTCCATGTTCTGCATATTTTGACATGTTTTACTCTACTGAAGTTAGAGCATTATGAAAATAGTGCTTTTTCTCAATTGTCTGCATACAGCCACTAAGCTGCACCATGGTTTCAGTCACTTTAAGCCAGCAAAAACTAGAACTGATACCAAAGGTGGCCCCATCCTTCTCCACCTTGAGCGATCCTCCCCTCTGCTCTCTTTTCCACAGATTTTGAAGCAGCAAACAGATCAGGAAATTTATCCAAATTAGAACCAGCCGTTTTTTGGATGAGTGAGACAAGGTCAGACCTCCTTGTGCAGGAGATGTTCCAGATAGCTGTGAAACCACAGCATCTGTTGTTCAAGGACAGTTAATCAATACTCAATTTTATCTCCACACTTTTACACAGCTTTTTGCTTGTTACTTTTGCCAATTTCTCTGACACAAGGCTATCTAATGTGTTAACTGAACTTTCACCCCACCTGCACTCAGAAATCCAAGCTGCCAGTTGTGCGCATTATGAACAGTCTTACAAAATTATATCGTAGATATAAATGCGGGGATAAACAGCCATGCTCACCACAGGGCAGCAAAAGAAAGCAGAGGGAAGCAGCGGACACCACGAGTTCACTGTGTTTGACCTATACACACTTACATGTGTTCTTTTTTGAGGTTACAGATTAATTTTCTTCCAAGTTATCATTAAGCTGTTTAATGGCCCGATGTGAAAAGCAGCAGCTCCTACACTGAATACTGTACTGAGGTACACATTAATCAGCGTTGAACTTCTTTTGCAGTTTGAATTTAAGGCTTCATACTTTGGCCCTCCATTTTTTTCAAGCCAGGTCAGAATCCACCAAGTCCATCCCCTGCAAACTCCACTTGATGCGACAAAATGTCACTGTGTGCGTGCCCACCTCACCCAGAACACACCGGGGAGCAGCTCGGCACGCCGACCACTCCACGGGCAGGTCCGCTCTCCGGCAGGCGAGGTTCCCCAGCCGCACATCCCGCCCCACGGAGGGGCCCGACGGCCCCGCGCAGCGCCCGCCACGTGGGTTCGCCTTCCCGGGGCGGCTCCCGTACCCGTCCAGGTAAAGTCACCCCGGAGGGACCGCCGTTGTCGGGGCCGGCGCCTCCCACAGCTCCCGCGCGTCACCATAGCCAGCCAGCCAGCCCCGCTCCCGCAGCCCCTCGCAGCCCCCCGGCACACGGCCCGCACTCACCCGCCCCGGGCGCCCGCGGCGCCGCCGAGGGCCCGCGAGGCAGCGGAGGGGCCGGGACAGCCGCGGCGGCGCGGGAGCGGCAGCCGCCGCAGGGCAGCCCGCAGCATCGCGCTCATCCCGCACGGCTCAGGGATGCGGAGCGCCGGCGTCGCGCCTCTCCCGGCGGCGGGCGGACTCCTGCCCCGCCGCGAACTGCCCTCTCGGGGAGGCCGCCGACCCGCCCCTTGGCTGGAACAGCCGCACGGCTCGGCCCGGGCGCGCCGCCGGCCGCCCACCCCCGGGCCTCGGCCGGGACGGGAGGGGCCGAGGGGGCGCGGAGCCGCCTCGGGCCGGGCGGAGCGCGGGGGTGCCAGCAGGGTCAGGAGGTCAGGGGCCGGGGAGGCGAGCCCGGCCGGGGGTGTCACCCGCAGCGCTGCCCCCGCGGACCGCCTCCCGCCAGAGCTATAAAAGCGCTGTCTGAAGACCGGGACTGCCTCCCGCTCCGTGCCTAGCCGTCGGGTCGCAGCAGAGCAGCCGGCGTCCCCGGGCGAGGAAGATGCTGCCGATCGCGAAGACCCTGAAACAGGGCAAAAGGGTAACTCTCCCCACCCCTCCCCGGCCCGGCTCCCGGCACCGCATCTGGAGAGCGGCGCAGGCTGAGCGCTGGGGGCCTCGCCGCTGCTGCACGGCGGGGCTCTGCTCGGGGCCGTGCTGCCGCGCTGCCCCGCCGCGCTCTCCGGGCGCCCTTCCGCCCGCAGCGCTCCGTACGCCGCGGGAGGAACCCGCTGCTCCTACGGGTGGGGCGCGGGCCGGGGGCTGCAGTTAAAGGCAGGTGGAAAGGGTGCCTGCTGAGCGCCGAGCTTGTCTAAGAGATCGGGCGTAGTGTTGTGGGATAGTCGGGCGTATGAAACTGAAGTTGGTGCTGCCCCAGCCCCTAGAATTTTGATTTTCTCGGAATGCACGCATTGCAGCCACCAAATCCATTTAGTTTTACAGTATTTGATAAAAAATATTAAACAAGATTTGCAATGCACTGGAATTATAGATACTGTAAGCACAAACCTTCATTAGGTGGGATTTCTGTTTCCAGCCAACTCTATTTAGAAGCCCCAAACTGTTCTTCCCTTGATTGATAGGGCTGAATACCAGCAGTGTAACACGAGTACCACCCCCAGTGTATGCATGCCCTTTGCACTCTCATTCAGCTGAAGAAATTAGTCAGTATGAAGTTATTCTGGCATCAGCCATTCTGCCTGTTAAGACAAACCTTCTAGCAATGTGTGAATCAAATTCTGACATATAGAAGTGCTGCTACCTGTCACTGTTTGGCAGGGGCATGGAGCAACACGTTCTTCCTTCTTGGTGGGTCTGTGCTTTTAACAGTAGGACAGCTCTTAGAGCAGTTCTCATTCATTTTCGTGTCTATGGCTCTTTCACATAAACAGGTTGTGAATGAAGGAATCAGGGTAAGATCTGAGTTTTCAGATGCTTTCTTTCTCTTCACCAATGGAAAGGTAGGGCATAGGTAGAACAAGCAGACCGTCTGCTGACATGGTTTAGTTAAACTCCTAAGCAAGATGGGAGTATCTTCATACAATCATTTGGTGAGTAGACAGACCATTCTGGTGAATGCACTTAGTGATGCAATGTCATTCGTGGTGGTAAAAGTGAAAAGATGACTTGAAAGCCTTAGGCTTTACATATCTTTTTCCTTGTTACTTTATACCAGACCTCTCTACTACTGGATCACCACATAGTTTAGTTTTGATCTATATTAGGCACAAACACACAGCTGTAGTTAGCTGTACAGGAGAAAATGAGGACAAAATGCTGGTTGAACCAATGGTATTTCAGTGAGGACAAGTAACAATGGTGCATCGGGGTAATATCAATCTGTAATAATCTGCAAAAAAGTGATTTCCATTTTGAGCTAACCTGAGCTGATAATACAGCTGGTAATACTGTTTTAACTTACATTGCTTCTGTGTGACAAAAGTGAAGATTATTCTAAAGTGCTGTTTTAAAAAGTCATAACTGAGGGGAAACTGCTGTTAAGTCCAAGAAATGACTTGATAAAAGAAAAAAGTCAGTGTTGTAGTTGCATTTAAATATAATATCTTTATATGATGTCAACATGTATCTGTTCCCTCATCTTCAATCAATCAGCAGCGCCTGAAATTGCTTTTACCTCCAGGGTTTTTCCCTCTGTGCTTCTATTCCCTGCACGTTAAACTTCTGAAGCAGGCTTTGTTCAACCTTCCTTGGCAAGCAGGAGAGGGAAGGACTCAGTCATTAGTTCCTCAGCTGCTTTTCTTTAGCCCCATTTGAGTCTTTCAGTCTAAAAATTATTTAACTGCAAGCAATTTTCACAAAGACTCTCAACACTTAGATGTACAACAGAGCTCCCATCTGTTGAGGTATGAGTGGTGGGCTTGCTGAAAGTTGCTCAGTTTTGTAGATACGGTATTATAGACTGAGTTTTGCCCAGGTCCTGCCAAA